CCCTCTCTTTAAAAAAAAAGAGAGAAGGAGAGAGAGAGAGGGCAAGAGAGAAAGGGTGGCCAGCAGGAGAGAGATTTTATAGCCAAAATCTAATGAGGTCTCTGGTCTGCAAGCTGCCTTGTTGGCGTACAGTGAGGGCCACTGTGACCATGAAGGTCTGGGTGGGGTGTGATCCTTCCTTTCAGGGCACCACTGAGGCTGCCGGACAATCAACAGTTAGTTCTCCATTATTCCCGAAGGTTCCATAGTCCTTTGAAGATGACATATAATGTCTTTGCCAGGGAAGGGGAAGGGAAATAATTTTGGACCGAGAGTCGAATCTGCAGGAGGAGGGAGTCCCTGAGGACCACCGTGGCCTTAAAGGCTGTGGTGGGTATTTTCCTCCCTGCAGGTGGGCAAAGAGGTTTGCTGGTGATCAACACAATCAAATCCTCCTGACACCAGCACTGGGTTTAGGACACCAGGAAGGGACTCACCCGTGGTGGGTGTAGTTCTGGGGGTTGAGAAAATGGGCTCAGGTGGTCCGGTGAAGGAAGAGGGACCCAAGAGTGGGTTTTCACCCTCTCCCGGGTTTTGGTACCAGATGAAAGGAAAGTGACCACAACACCTGGAGTGACCAAGAGATCTTTATTGCAGCAGTGTCTGATTAACAGGGAAGGAAAAAAGAGAGAGAAAGAGAGAAAGCGGAGAGAGAGCGGAGAAAGAGAGAAGAGAGGGAGGGAGAGAGCAAAGTGAGAGAGAGGGGGAGAGAAGGGAGAGAAGGAGAGAGGGCCCAGCAGGAGAGGGTTTTTGTAGCCCAAATCTAATGGGGTCTCTGGGTCTGCAAGCTGCCTTGTTGGCGTACAGTGATTGGATCATACAGTAGTTGCTAAGGGTGTCGTCTTCTGCCCTCAGGCAGACCGGGCAGATGTGGGTTTTCATTGCACTAGATGGGTGGAGTGTTCAGCCCACCCTGCAGCTAACACAGGCCACAGTGGAGTAAACGACCAGGCGCTTGTGGCATAGGTCTTGAGTGAGTCCTAATTTGGCAATATTGGAATATAGACACCCAAAGGAGTTTGGGGGTCTAAGGAGGACTCATTGTTTCTTGTGACCTTCAGGCACCCTCGGGGGTGGGTAGGAGCAGAAAAGGCATCCCAAATTCTGGATGGATAAGGGCCAGGTGGGGTTTGAGGTGTCCCTGCAACCCAACCGGGGGTCCAAATGGATCGGAATGGCTCACGCGAGGACTGGGAATGTCTCCACAGTTCCCAGGGCCTTGAGTGGAACGGGCAGGGGTCTATCACATGCATGTGACTTATGGATAGACCCCCCAGATGGAGAGGGGATGGAAGGTCAGAGGAAACGAGGGAACTTACCCTACTCCTGTCAGCCCAGATGAAGGGAGAGGGAAAGAAAGAGCAGCTTAGGAATTTCCTGGTTTGTTTGAAGGAGAGGGTGACCTCAAACCCTATGGGAGAGGCACGAAAAGCCCTTTCGGGTTTTGGCATCAGATGTAAGGTCAGACACCAATGACCCAAAGGAGGCAGATTAAAAGCAGCTGAACAAGGCTTTATTGGGGTTCGCTCCCGGACGAGACCCTCCAGTCCAACAGAGTGGGTCTGGGGGGGGAATCACACCCAGGCTCAGCTGGATTGGAATTTTATTGGGCTTAGGGTAGGAAGGGAGGGCTTAGAACAGGAAAGGGAGATTTTTAGAGTCCCTTGTCCTTCTGGGGTTGGTCAGGGGATCTTGCTGAGATCCATGTCCTTCCAGGATTAGTCAGGAGACCCACTGATTGACAGGTGGTGCAGGTTGCCTGGTGCTTTGTTCCCTTAGCCACCTCAAACTGACCTAACATTGTCAACTTATGCCATGAAGGGCTGCAGGTAAATTGCTTTCTCAAGAGGAAAGCTTGTGGGAGTCAGCACAGTGGTCTAGGTTACAGAATTATTCCCTTAGCTTCAAGTTACCACTCTTCATGTCTGTCTGTGCCCTATCAAGACCTCTGAAACAATGAGTCCCAAGTAAACTATCCTCCTTCTAGGTTGTTCTTATTGGGTATTTTGGTCATAGTGACACAAAAACTGACTAAAACAGAAATTGGTACCAAGAAGTTAGAATCATTGCTGTGACTAACCTGATGATGTGGTTCAGGAAGCCTTTGAACATGGTTTACAGAAGAAATTTTGAAAAGTTTAGAGACGCAAGATGAAAAAACTTTAGAATGTTGTAAGCAGAGCTTCATGGGTAATTATGATGAGCACTCAGAAGACCAGAATACCAGAAACATGCTCCTGAGGTTTCAGAAGGATGAGGACTCCATTGGGAATAGGACTAGGGGCTCCTCATCTTACTCTGGTAAAGAAGTTGGCTACATTTTTCCCTGAGACTTTGTGATGCTGAATTTCAAGGTGATGGACTAATTAATATGGCAGAAGAAATTTCAAGGCAGCACAGCATTCATTCAGTGGTGTGGATATTGCTGACAGCTTTTAGCTAGTTTTATTATGAAAATTTGAAGCAGGAAGCAGAGCTAAAGAATTTTAAAACTTGCAATTTGGTAGATGTAAAAGTGGATGTAAAATTGGGGTTGAGGAAGTCGTGCTTGTTGAAAATATTACAGCCTCTAAAGAAATACAAAGTACTTTGCACAGAGACAGTAGGAAATGCCTTGAGGCATCCCAAGAATTTTCAGGACCATACCCATTGCAGGCTTCAGAGTGCAGAACAGAAAATTCCTTTGAGAAAATAGAGCGTTCATCTTGCACATGCGAGACCCTGGGTTCCATCCTCAACACCACATAAAAAATATGTGAATAAAATAAAGGTATTATGTCCAACTACAACTAAAAAGTAAATATTAAAAAAAATAGCATGGGGGCTCCCTGCTCACACAGTAGGGCCTAGGAAGTTGTTTCACTCTGCTCAGCTACCCAAG